AGGACCTTGGTGAGGTAGTTTACTCCCGTTGGGCCTAGATGTTTTAACATCAGCATGCTTATTCCGTCAGGGCCGATGGATTTAGACGATTTCGCCTTTTTGATGACACTCTGAACCTCCCCATCGGTGAAAGTAAGTGGTGCGCAGTCTTTTGGCATTTTGCGCAGCCGTCGGGTAACACTTCGTTTGGCCTTGTCGGTCGAAGGGTGCAGTATAAACTGCCGGCTAAAGTAGCTCGCGCACTTCTTCGGGTCCGAGGAGGCATGGCCATCGAATTGAATTTCAACCCGATCGTCATGTCTCCTCGGATTTGACAGGGCCTTGACAGTAGTCCAAAGTATTACTCACACCGGTGGAGAGGTTGCAGGACTTCAGGTGCTCTATCCATTTTGTCCGCTTATGATGATTTACCATTTGCCGAATCTCCAAATTGAGATCCCTTATTCGGGGATCACAGGGATCGGCATGGCGTAAGGTGTCGCGCTCATTTGCTAATACAGCTGCTTCGGCTGGGAAATTAGGGCGGAGTTCCGCTATTCTTCCAGCCGGTATGAAGCGAGCAGTAGCAGCAGCGATCACCTTGCGGAATTGACGCTCGCCAACGATGACGTCCGTAGGAATGGATAGTGCGTTGAAGGTGCTCTCAGTAAATTCTGTGAAGCCGACCCAGTTAGCTTTGTTAAAGTTAACATAAGTGCGGTTATCCACAGAAATAAAGTCAGGAGGTTTCTCGATCGAGATAATTATGGGCAGATGGTCTGATGCAAGAGTTAGCATAGGTCGCCAGGTTATACGTTTTATCAGACCACCGCTAGCGATGGTAATATCTGGCGAGCTATTACAGGTGGCCATAGTTCTGGTGGGGGCTTCGTCGTTCATTGTGCAGAATGTCGAATCGTCTATCTGTTCCGCCAGCTCCATCCCCCTACGATCGTTTGACAGGCAGGAATGCCAAAGATCGTGATGCGCGTTAAAGTCGCCTAGCACTTTCTCCACGAAGTAGCGCATCTATATTCGGGTGATATCCTGTTGGGCAACATGTAACTGGGGGGATGTATATATTAAATATTTCTACCCTGACATTCTAGGGTGGTGTCCCTGCGGTCGATGTCAACATCGATTAGACGATATTGCACGGTGTTGTGCAATATGAAGGCTAGGCCTCCTCAATTATCCCGCTCGCGATCCTTACGTAAAACGTTGAAACCTGCACAACTCAGAAGATCTGAGCGGCTGTTTAACTTGGTTTCTTGGACCGCAGCTACCGTTACGCGCTCCCGGCTCATAAATGCAACTATCTCCTCGATCTTGCTCTGGAGTCCGTTGCAGTTAAATTGTAAGAGTCGCGTTTGTCGCGGGTGTCCAGTCGTGATCCTAGGGGTGAGTGGGGTGCGTGTAGGTGGTGGTTGTTGCAGCTGTGCTATCCGCATGGGCGGTTGTCGCACTGTGGTGTTGGTTGGCGACGCCACTGTATGTGATTGCGGGGGCAGACTCCTACAGCATGGGGCAACATACGACGCACTCCACTCTCGTGTAGTGCGCAGGCCAGAACACGACAGAAAGTGACACCAGCCAGTACAAGAATTGCACTTGACTGATGTGACATTCCGGCGTATTATGGTCTGACACACGGAACAGACTGTGCGAGGAACCAGGAGTTGCTGTGTGGTTCTCGCACGAGGATTGGAGCTGGATGATGGTTGGGGGGGAGGTTGGTCAGATTGGGAGTTATGCTGTCTATGTGAGCTCCTTGGGACCGTGGAGGTCCTATCTTGGCCACTCGACTGGAGTGGCAGCGCAGTGCGCGAACATGGTGCAGGTTGCACGGCCGTTGAGGCAGATGTCGCATTATTGCGTTGACAGCATGGGGCCACGTAACTCGTGGTCCACTCCCTGTGTGTCTTAAGGCCCGAGCAGGTCTTAAGATGGCTCCATCCATTGCATGTATTGCACCTAACCGAGGTGGAATTTGGATGGAGTCTTTTCCGCATACGCAGCAGTAGAATACCTCGGGGCCCGGGTTGGACTCGATGCCAGCACGGGTCAGGAGGATACGGAGCAACCCTGCTGCTAGGCGTTGCTCCAATGACGACAGACTTAATCTAAAACTTACCGATCCAAACAGGGTTAGATCGTCGAAATAACAGCCCTTGGCCGGATAAAATCCGGGTCAATTCCGGTATCGCAGAACCTGCTGTTGTGAGAATGAATGTATACTTTGAATCGCGCTTCTAGTAGTTTACAACAGTACTGTTATATGGAGAAAGGGCGGGGTTGTCACCTGGTTTCACCCATTTTCGCACTGATGGAGGTGCTAAAAACGCTCGCAACCTGTTGCTACAGAGTATAATAGTTTTGTTCACCTAACGGTTGTTTGTATCACCTAAAACTAATCGAGTTAGATATAGGGTTATATATATATAAATGATCAGGATGAAGAGACGAGTTAAAATCCGGGTGACTGTCTGTCCGTCCGTCCGTCCGTGCAAGCTCTAACTTGAGTAAAAATTGAGATATCTTTATGAAACTTGGTAGACATGTTTCTTGGTACCGTGAGACGGTTGGTATTGCAGATGGGCGTAATCGGACCACTGCCACGCCCACAAAACGCCATTAATCAAAAACAAATAAATTGCCATAATTAAGCTCCGCAATAAGATACAAGACTGTTATTTGGTACACAGGATCACATTAGGGAGGGGCATCTGCAGTTCAATTTTTTTTTAAGTGGGCGTGGTCCCTCCTCTAATAGGTTTAATGTGCATATCTCCTAAACCGCTAATGCTATAATAACAAAGATCACTGGAAGCAAATGTTTTTAGCACTTCTATTGACGGTGTGAAAATAGTTGAAATCGGGTGGCAACTCCGCCCACTCCCCATATAACGGTACTGTTACAAACTACTAAAAGCACGATATATCAAGCACTAAACACGCCAGAGACATTAACTTTTATCTCTGGGATGGTATGATATGACTTTATAGGAACCGCGTTTAAAATTAGACAGTGGGCGTGGCACAGCCCACTTTTAGGTGAAAACCCATATCTTGAGATCTGCTTAACCGATTTCAACCTAATTCGGTGCATAACGTTCTTTTCATGTTTCTATGTCATACTGCGAAAATGGACTACAATCACGCCTACTTCCCATATAACACCATTTTAAATTCAATCTGATTCTTTCACTTTCCACTATGCAAATCAGGCAACAATGACTGTATCGGGATAAAACTTGTAATTGTAGGTATCGCATTTCCTTATATTAAGTATTTCCAATATATCCATTAGTAATAATAACTTAAAATATCTATTTTATTAGAACTCCAAACTAGGCAAAAGCAATCACTACTTCTGACTGGAAAACTTAGATATATATTTTTCTGTTACGTACTTCTATGTATTTATACACATGTATACACATAGCCAATAAAGTCTGCGTTCACCCGACACATTTTTTTAAGTGAAGTAAAAACACAATGTAAATAGGTAATTCAGTTCAAATTTTCTGCTTTATATTCTTTATATTCTTAAGTTCAAAATGCAAAAACAAAAATGTATATTCCTATTTTAATTTTTGTGATAACGGGATTTTAGTGTAAGAACAAGTAAACATAGGCACCATTAAGTCTGCGTTCAGTTAGCTTGAATTGGAAATACCGTTACTTCTCATGAATTTGTTCGTTCTTTTTGCGTAGATTCTATTGTGTTTTAATATAATTAGTCGTTTAAAGAGCTCGTGACTAGTTTTAAGAATATTTAAAAAAATGGAAACCAAAGGAAAAGAAATTAGTCTGTCGGAAAGAAAAATTATCATTAAGTTGTGAAAAGATGGCGAAAGTTTCAGAAAAATTGGGCAAACTATTGGAAGAACGTATTCTTTTGTCCAGCGCGTCGTAAAAAATTTTAAAAAATCCGGAATTTTAACGTCAAAACCGCGATCTGGCTGTCCGAAAATATTATCAGCCCGGAAAGAACGGAAAATAATAAATATGGTGAAAGTTAACCCTCGAATTACGTCCACAAAGATTATTGAAAACGCAAATATAACCATTAAAAAACAATTTGTGCCGAAACTACCATATATTTCACTTGTAAACATTCGAATGCGCATTGAATTTGAAGGAGGATGAAAGTAAATTTTGCATTTTTGGCATAAAAGGTCGACAAATTGTGTGGCACTCTTGGATTATCTTCGACGTTTTGGTTCCAACAAGATAATAACCCGAAGCATACAGCGGAAATAGTTAGTCTTTGGCTCTTGTTCAATGCTCCTAGACAACTTAAAATGCCCTCTCAATCAACTAACCTCAATCCTATTGAGCATCTATGGGATCTGTTGGAAAAAAGAATTCGTCATCATACAATAACAAGTAAAGAGGCTTTACGAAGGGTTATGAAAGAAGAATGGTCCCAGATTACAGCTGAGGAAACAGATAAGTTGGTAAGATCAGTGCCGATGGGACATATGCCGAATCGATTGAGCGAGGTTTTAAAACAACGCGGCTATCCAACAAAATATTTAATTTAATTTTTCATTATCATTTTTAATACTTTTGTAACTAATTTTAAAGCTGAACGCAGACTTAATGGTGCCTATGTTTACTTCTCCTTACACTAAAATCCCGTTATCACAAAAATGAAAATAGGAATATACATTTTTATTTTTGCATTTTGAACTTAAAAATATAAAGAAGAAATACATGTAGAAAATTTGAACTGAATTACCTATTTACATTGTGTTTTTACTTCACTTAAAAAATAGTGTCGGGTGAACGCAGACTTTATTGACTATGTGTATATACAGCAAAATATTTAAGTTTTGGCATAGATGACATGTATTTATTTTGAAAATCAAAGCAAGTGTTAAACTCTGTTTCATTTTCTAAACTGCGTTTTCGAAAATAAGTTTTCCGCTTTGTAATTTTATATTCATATCAATAGAACGAGCTTTCGGCCACGTTGAACCGCAGAATTCTTGTCACCAATGTATAATACTTAAATATACCACTATATATTATACTAGAATATGTGTATATAGATATTTACACCCTGCTGTGATATCAACTAGTAATAAACTAGCTAACACCTGGTGTGAACCGAAAACACAAACAGTCGACATTCTTTTTTCCACACAAGCAACTGGTATTCTTACTTGTTAATGCCATATGAGATGTTTATTCGGATTTCGGTCAGAAAGATAACGGTCTAATAGCAGAAACATAAATATAAAAGATAATTCTACTGATTGGGTTTCTTGATCAATAAACAACTCATTAGTAAATAGTTCTGTCCTATTTATTTAGATTTTATGTAGGAAAATCTAATTGTAAAAAGTTAATTTTTGACTAGTTTGTTGTTTCACTGCAGGGTATTTATGGATCACCAAATAATGTCTAAACATATGGACAAACATGCATATACACGTAAGAGTATATCATACCTAAAGAGGAAGTAGCACATACAAATATACACTCGTTTCGTTCGCGCTCGTGTGATTTTCTTTTCCTTATTGCTTAATAGAACATCACTTTTTCTGTTTTTAGAGACCTTATTTTCGTACTTAACAATTTTCAAAACACTTGCTTAATTTTCTTCCATATTTAATATTTTCATAAAGTTTTAGTATTAAACAAAAATATTCACAAACAATTTTTTAAGTACAGTATCTGGATATATGTGAACGTTACACTTGCGATCGTCAACTTTAACAAATAAACTGATGAACTAGAATAAACATGCCATCATTCTACCACACTACAAATACAATACGGTCACAACACATAAATATTTTCAACTAAAACATTGCCGCGGTCTGTTTTACAGCATACATACATATGTAAAATTTAATTCACACGGATATCAATTTTTTTCAGATTTATTTTGGTAGCATTAAAATTTTACAAAAATGGGTTACATTTTCGGAAGGTATAATCGTGATTGAAATATTTGCATATGATGTCAAAAAGTTTAAATTTTACAATTTGACTGTGTACAAATGCATTATATAATATTAATCATTCTTACATTGCACCAAGTAACTTGTTACCAAGTCAACATAAGATATGCAGTGTGAGCTGACTAAAATATAACAGTAGTAAGTTTTGTATTTAGTACCTTTGAAAATAAATTTGTAATCAACAAACTCTTATAAATAAATTCTTGTCGAAAGTTATGTACTTTAGTTTGACACATTTTAACATTTCACCAAAACGCATACTTGGACATGATTTGTGGCGGTTAAATGTTTGAATAAAACCAATATAAAGTGAAAAACCCTGAGTAAAACGGCACCATTGACTATACTTATCAACCCCCGCTCTATCATCATCAATATTTTTGCTCTCTCTACTATTCTACTCTGCAGATCGGACAAGTATTGCATATAGCTGAACGATCAAAATCAAGTCGGGTGACTGTCTGTCCGTCCGTCCGTCCGTCCGTGCAAGCTCTAACTTGAGTAAAAATTGAGATATCTTTATGAAACTTGGTAAACATGTTTCTTGGTACCGTGAGACGGTGGTATTGCAGATGGCGTATGCACCGACCAATGCCACGCACAGGATCACATTGGGGAGGGCATCTGCAGTTAAAATTTTTAAGGGCGTGGTCCCGCCCCAATAGGTTTAATGTGCATATCTCCTAAACCGCTAATGCTATATTAACAAAATTCACTTAAGCAAATTTTTAGCACTTCGACGGTGTGAAATAGTGGAAATCGGGTGGCAACTCCGCCCACACCCCATATAACGGTACTGTTAAAAATACTAAAAGCGCGATAAATCAAGCACTAAACACGCCAGAGACATTAAATTGTATCTTTGGGATGGTATGAGATGAATTTATAGGAACCGCGTTCAAAATTAGTCAGTGGGCGTGGTCCGTCCACTTTAGGTGAAAACAGCAATACGTAACTGAACTGAAGTACA